GAAATTCGTCCCCGACGTGGATCGAACTCTGGTCGTTGGGTTTAAAATTCAGGGCGCATCACGCAGCTGCTTACAATACATGCACAAACACACGCGAGACCCTTCCCCATTGGAAAAAGGACCATTCATTCATAATTCATTTAAGCTCTATACTAGGACAGTATCTCAAAGCCAAAAAAAGTTCAAGCCGAGGAACAAACAAAGCGACGACGACGATGACGGCGACCCAGAAGCAGAGCTCCGGTCCCTGTAAACAGGGCCAAACTTCTCTTCTCCGGAAGGAGACGGGGGAAGAAAGAACCGAGCCTGGCTAATGCCCGACGCCGGGGCTGGGCACGGACCGCATCGACCGCGCGGCCCTCGAGAACCCTCTCGGCGCCGATGCCACCTTGCCGCCATCGTTGTCGCCGCCATGGGGGCTCGGCGACACTATGAGCACCAGGCCGCCTTCGAAGTGCATCACCTTGCCGCCCTGCTCCTCCGCCACCAGCAGCTTGCGGCCCTGGCACGGCGGGCAGCGGAGCAGGACCAGCAGCAGCAGCAGCACGGCGATGAACGCCCACGCGCCCCTCCTGCTACTGCTGGTACGAGCAGGGGAACCCATGCCGAAACAGTAATAGGACGCTGCTCTGCTTCTGTACGTGCCCGGGGCCGGGGCAGAGCTGCAGGAAGAAACGGAGCTCGTGTTGCAGAAATGGTGCTTGGCTGGCTAGTAGCTACGCTGCCTGCCTTGGCAGAAGATGACTTTGCTCTGGAGCTGATCTGATGGGGCAGAGAGGCGCGCTGTCGCTCGATATATATAGTGAAGGGCACCCGCGAATGATTCCAGTCGGAGTAAGCTCCCCGTGTGGAGAATTCTTCGTGACCAACTGCCGGCGGCCGGCCGGAGAAAACACCTTTGTTTTCTCTGGAACGGCGCAAGTAGCAGTCTAGTTTTATTCCATGTATTGCTAAAGCGATAGTCAATGAGTGCCTTGCAAATATAGTACGGCTTTGCTCCATGTCATGTGGAGAAATCGTAGAGATTAACGATAATTGAATGTGTCATATGACGGCGGTGTGAGTTATTTAATTTGTTCCGAGTTCTGACCTTGTGATCAAGAATCTGTCAGCTAGCTGACTAACGCATTTTCCATGTCCAAACTAACCCGGGGATTAGCATGCAGGACTAACTGATTACTGTGTTTTTTTTACACCGAGAGTTTTGATCGAGCGACCACATTTGGCAGCATAAAGCGTCTTCTCTGCTTAACTAACCAACCGCACGAATCATCGATTTAATTACATGCTACACCTGAGTTAGGCTGGTCACAATGGGCAAGAACATAAGCTAGTAATTTACACACTTCCCTAGACTATGTTATTATCTTCATAGTGGGTAGGAACATCTATATAGTGTCATGCAACGATGTATTTATTAGGTTATAGACTCATTATTTTTTGGAGTGTGTGATGTTTCGGTAACTTAGCTAATTACCACAAGCACCTCTCTCTTCATTAAATACATGTCACATAAGTAAAGTTGTATTGGAGTGTGTGATGTTAATCCTTAGTTCCTCCCCACTGTGACCAGCCTTATAGCCTTTAGTAGCAAGTAGCGTTCTTGACCTAGCTATGAAAATCAATAGAAATACCTAGGCTATTTGGCATCGGAATGTGAGCATGTTAACCAATGGTTAGCAAACAAAAACCCCAAGGAATCGACGGGGACGCAGACACCCTTTCTGGACGGACGGCCAAGAGCGAAAGGGAAGCCAAAATCTGACTCGAGAACGCATTGCAGTTGCAGGATATCTGTGCCTTTTTCGTTCCCATGTGCTCTCTCGCTCGTGTCTTCATCATGCAGCCGATCGATCGATCGATCGATCGATAGACAGAGGTCCGCTAGGCTAGGCTAGGCTAGCTTGCTAGTTTCGTCGTGGAGAAGGGATTACGGCATATTCGAGGCTTCTGAATAGTGTTGTTAAACTACCTGAAGCTAAACTTGGGCAAACGTCGGGCCGGGCCGGGTTTCGGGCCGGGCTTGTAAAAACCCGACCTTCATTTCTCAAGCCCGAGCCCGGCCCGAAGCCCGAAATACTCCACATTTTCAAGCCCGAAGCCCGAAAGCCCGATCCGAATGCTGTTTTTTAGTACGCGCACGTGCAAGCCCGACCCGAAGCCTGAAAGCCCGGCCCGAAATACGGAAAAATTGAAGCCCGAGCCCGGCCCGAACTATCTTTCGGGCTGAAAAACAAAGCCCGAGCCCGGCCCGAATGTCAAGCCCGGCCCGGGTTTTTCGGGCCGGGTCGTCGGGCCGGGCTGCCCATGCCCGGGTTTACCTGAAGCCTAGATTTCCCCCGACGAACATTTCTAGGTTATCATCTATCCCCCGACGAATATTTCTAGGTTATCATCGCGGCCGGCCATGATGGATTTGCGAAAGGGGGAGAACTATCCTAGCCAAAGTTCGTAGATATGCGTTTTTAAACTTGTCGATTGGGTCCAAAGTTTTACTTACTAGGACGACCCAATCAGCCTCGCGCAGAATATGCCAAAGCAGAGGACATGGCTGGTGTGTCTCTGTTGAGTGGGCCCATAGAGATCGAATGACAAAGTGCACCTCAGGGTTCAAATCAACAAATGTGTAAAACATTGGACGGCTAGGTAGGTTTCACATGAAAGCATCTTTTGTCTTGTTATAGGGCATCTCCGACACATACCCCGCAAACGCCCGCTACCAACCGCCTGACCCAACCAAAACCCCTCTTTCGTTCCGCGTGCTTTCGGTCAGTGCCGCCACAGAGCGGCAGCGCTCGCATTCCGGTCAGAGCGAGCGCGACCGCTCACTAGCGCCGACATTTAAGTGACGTGCGGGCTGAGTGAGAGCGCCGCTCGCGCCACTTCCCATTGAAGGCGACTGCTGCGCGTTCAAACGACACGACGGCCACGCGCCCGTCTGTCTACTGCCCACAATGATGGCGTGCGGTTGCCGGGGCGTCTTCTTTTGTGCCACCCGTCCGTCCCTCTGTCGCCCACCATTACTATATAAACTGTTGCCCTGACATAGCCGCTGCCATTCGCCTCCGATCCCTCTCCGCACCAATCCCACCATGGATTCCTCCCTCGCCAAAGCTCTGTTGGACGAGCTGATGTCGGATGTCTTGTCATTGGTGCCGGCTGGCAGCTGGAGAACGACGACATCTCAATGAAGGACGCTGCCAACGACAAACCGACGCCACCCTACTCCTCCGCGCCACCCTTGCTGGTGCATTGCACCTTGAACATCGGCAAGGCCCGTGCCCATTACATGGACATGGTGCGGGAGGAGTACTTCCGGGAGGCGTAGGTCGACGCCGCCTACAACTACCACCTCCTCGAGGAGCACGTGCAAGTGGAGGAGCAGCTCGCCGCCGGCAGGGTGGTCGCGCCGGTCTCGGACCTAGCGGGGCAGGAGAAGTTGCTCGAGTCCTACCGCTCCGCCCGCGAGATCTGCCTCGCCCGCTGGCTGTACTGCCAACGGGTGGCGGTCGCCTACAAGGAGTGCGACGACGTGGATGAGGCGGTGTTCGGCGAGACCAACGAGGAGGAGGAGAACATCGCCGAGGCCGCGCCCCGCTGCGACGACCATGAAGTTGACACGTCCGCAGATGTCATCGACAGCGAGGAAGAGTACGTAGTGCACGGTAGGTCGCCGTCGCTCGTGTCCTTGAAAGGCCACTGCCCCTTCCCTCCTGTCGATGCCAAGCCTGGTGGGCTCTGCATCGGCGGCCGATTAATCGCTCTGCGACTTCGTGGAGGCGGACAACTTCACTTTCCGGGTCTCCGAAGGCAGAGCTGAAGAGCGCCGAGGCGGAACGGATGTTGCCGCGCCGGCGGCCATTTAGATAAGGTATTAAATGTACATTCAGAGTTGCCGGCGCCGCACCACTTAGTTGCCGGACACGGGAACGGGCGCCGCTGCCGCCGCCCCACCGCTTAGTTGATGTAAATGTAATGAAATCTTTCATTTTATATGATATGAAATTCGGCCGTGTTTAAACGAATTTCACCCGGTTGAGTCAAACTGTTGTTAAAATGTATTTGGCTACGGTGGGATTTGGCCTCCAGCATCCGTGTTTGCGGACGAATGTGGAAGAAAATTTGCGGGTTGCCGTTGAAGATGCCCTAGTTTGTTACACATGTTGCAAATCGACGCGCGAAAATCTTGGTGTTGTTCGGTCCTGAACCTTGGCGTATGCATGCACGCACCTCGATCGCTCCACCGTCTCTTTGCGGCGAACGGCTCTCCCGAGTCGCCGGAGTCTGTGGGGCATCAATCATACAAACACGGCCATCCCCGTCCGGCGTGTCGCCGTCACGCCTGCCCGCAGCGCGCCAGCGCCGCCGTGACCGCGCGCGTGTCATAACTCAGAACATCAATTTTTCAGAGCGTCGCCGTCGCGGTGCTGTCATGCATCATCATGCAGCAGAGAAAGCCGCGCACAGACAGCAGCAGGGCTCGTCTCTTTCCCCGTCCGTCGCCAGCACGAGGCAAAAATAGCATCCGTGCAAGCGCAGCGCAGCGGTAGCCACTCGCGGCCCGGTGCGTAGACGTAGACGGCGGAGGCCCGCGCGACGTGGCAGCGGGTGGCCAAGTTCCGTTCCGCCATTCCAGCCAGCTCGCACGACTGGGACGGACGGACGGACGCGTACGAGGTAACCAACCAACCACCCACCCCACCCCTCGCGCGCAACCAGCCAAACCGCGCGGAGACGACGACGGCGATCGATCGGAGCCCAGAACCCCCTCCTCCTCCGGCCGCCGCCCGGGTAGCGATCACGACCACGACCGCACCCGACTCGCCTGCGCGCGTGCCGCTCTGCCCGCCGCCGATCAGGTAATTGGTTTGGTATGTATGATCTCCTCCTCGTCCGGCCCCCGATCAGGGCTGGCATAAACGTGTGATTCCGTTGGATACTGATACTGATTACGGCCGCCTATCGATCGATCTGGTGGATCTTCTTCCGTGCGTGCGCAGATGAGTGTGTCAGGGTCGGAGAGCGGGGCCTCGGCCAACAAGCCCAAGTGTATGTCACCATGATTGTGCCGCATTCTTTGATTTGATTTCCCTATTTTGCCGAGAGAAACAAAAATGCAGGCGCGTGTGTTCCTGTGACTGATTAAATTTCCGTTCCGTTTTGGCAGATTCTAAATTCACGCAGCAGGAGCTCCCGGCATGCAAGCCGTTGCTAACTCCCGGAATCGTACGATTTAATTATTACTCCATTTTGTTTCTCTTGTGATGGTCATTGCAAACGTAACATCGATCCAGCGCTACATCTTTGTCAACCTGAATGTAGTAACATGAAACCGTCGATTGATATATAGGTCATCGGCGCCTTCTCGCTCATCGGCATCATCTTCGTCCCGATAGGGCTCGCGTCCCTGTCAGCGTCGCAGGAGGTAAAATTTTTTTTTCAGACAAATGCAGTTGCAGTGCTATATGAACAAAATGCATTTCATCTCTGCTGCTCCCTAATCTGATAATATTGCAAAATGCAGATTGTTGAATTGATAGATCGATACGATGAGGAGTGTGTCACCGCCAGCGACAAGATCGGGTTCATCCAGGACTCCAAGGCCAATAAGGCGTGCACCAGAAAGATCACGGTGCGATTCAGAGACACATCTTCTCATTCAGAAATGCGCCTGAACTTGAACAGAGGCAGCCCTGAAGATAACAGCTGGGCGTCTTTGTGTTCAGGTGCCCAAGCCGATGAAAGGCCCCATACACGTCTACTACCAGCTGGAGAACTTCTACCAGAACCACTGGCGGTACGTCAAGAGCCGGAGCGACCAGCAGCTGCGCGACAAGGACTACAAGGACCCCCAGGCGGTGATCAAGGCCTGCGACCCGGAGGCCACCACCGGCGACGGCTCCCTCATCGTGCCCTGCGGCCTCATCGCCTGGAGCCTCTTCAACGACACCTACGCCTTCTCCGTCAACAAGAAGTCGGTGACGGTGAACAAGAAGGACATCGCCTGGGCCAGCGACAAGAACAGCAAGTTCGGCAGCAACGTCTTCCCCGTCAACTTCCAGAAGGGCGGCCTCATCGGCGGCGGCAACCTCAATGACAAGCTACCTGTATGCCACCAAGTGCATGCAGATATAACAGCTTCTGACGCGGCATTCTGAACTTGGGCTGCATTCGTTGAAATTTTGTAACAGCTGAGCGAGCAGGAGGACCTGATCGTGTGGATGCGGACGGCGGCGCTGCCGACGTTCAGGAAGCTGTACGGGCGGATTGAGACGGACATCATGGCGAGCGACGAGATCACGGTGGTGATCCAGAACAACTACAACACGTACAGCTTCGGGGGCACCAAGGCGGTGGTGCTGTCGACGGCGTCGTGGATCGGCGGCAAGAACAACTTCATCGGCGTCGCCTACGTGGCCGTCGGCGGCATCTGCCTCCTCCTCGCCATGGGCTTCGTCGTCCTCTACGTCGTCAAGCCAAGGTAAACACTAGTATCTGACATGTCATTTTCGAATAACAAGTATACATGTTTATGTGCAGATAATTCATTGTAAAAAGCAGCAAATCAATGTGAGGTTGGGTTTTGTTCAGGGCCCTCGGGGACCTAGCGTACCTTTCGTGGAACAAGGAGGCCGCCGAGTACTCGCACTGATCGAACGCGATGCTGAAATCACAAGGCCCGTTTTGTAGATGGATGCAGCAGGGATAAAACGGTTTAGTAGCTGCTGTGCTCTTTCTGGTTATTATTATTGTTGGAAATGTGAGCAATTTACCAAATAATTTTGCTAACGGAAATACTAGATAAAACATGACTAAAATAGCAAATATAAAGCAAGTCATGCAATCTGACAAAGAGAAGGTAAACATCGTCTGCATATATGAACTTGAGCTAAACACATCTAGAACAGACAGTAGATGAAGTTGCTTATACGACATAGAACCTAACATACGTAGGGCAGAAACTAGAGCCAAGAACTGTAGCAGGACTTGTAACAGAAAGGAGAAGAACACATACGGCACAGCAACAGCAGAAGCGCTGGACTTGGGATCGGTGTCCTCGCCTGCCATGTCGTCGAGGAGGTCGTGGACGTCGGGGAAGAAGTCGTCAGCGACCGGATTGTCCGTGATGAAGCAGCCAGTAGTCGCGCTGAGCGCTCCCCAAAAACCTTATCACCCTTCTCCCGTACATGACTCAAAAGGTGCGGTCTCGGAGGCCTACTGTCCCGACGTGCGGTGCACGCCGCAAGTCGGGATGAGGAAGACAGCAGCAGCTCAGAGATGGAACCGATGGCGAGGGAAGGAGTAGTTCTGGTGTGTCTCTCTGAGAGGAGCGACCTCCCTTTTATAGGCACAAGAGAAGGAGGCAATAGGCTGCGCCGGGAGCTGAAGGGAATGAGGGAGACGAAACGAACATGCAGCAGCCGAAGAGGCGTGCCGTTCAGATTCAGTGTCCACTACAGAAAAAATGTTTCAGCTTTCGAGTGACCTTCCATATACCCGTAGTGCGTGGCAAAAATTTAGACATCGGCTCGGCTCATTCCCGCAACCCGCGGCGCGACGAGGCGTGGCGAGGCGGGCGGCGGAGGAGGAGCGCGCGTGGATGTCCCTCTTGTTCTCATGCTCATACAAGTGGGGAAAGAACCTCCCTTATAAGGAGGTCCAACTCCCACTCAACTAGCAATGTGGGACTAAATATTAGTAGTATCCCTTGCCTTGCACAAATGGGCTAAGTGGGCCTCTAGGATTTATTTAGGAATTTCTGAAATAGTTATTGGGCTGCCCAAAATAGACTAAATTCCAACAATCCCCCACCAGATCCCAGAGGCACACAGAAATTTGCCTTTGGTTCCAAAACACTGTTTTATATACCGGTACTGCAGTGGAGACTGTTAAGTTGAACTTCCACCTAGAACTCTATGCTACACTAGTACGCAACTTGAACAGTGGACTGGGCCTTGAACTGCAAGTTTTCTGCGAATCTAGCTTCACATAAAGCCTTGACCGATACGTGGCTACCGTGGGTCTTCCCCGCGGGTGGAGCTTATGTGTCATACTCCGTGACCTTTCATGAGTTTACTAGAGAGAACTCTACTCTCATAGATTGCGAGTTTAACAATCAGACTCATATAGGTGCGCTCTTCAAAAGATGTTCTGCAGGACAACATCTCTGCTTCAAAAAGCCACTTAGAACACATTAAGATATACATCAACCTGCCATGCAAATTAGGAGGGTATTGCATCTTCATGGAGTGGTATTTTTAACAGTAAGGATACTCTCCGCTCAGTTGACCAACAGCTTGTCTTCCACATCTAATTCACGGGATCTCCGATCACAAAGAATAGGTTACCACTGTGGACAACTCATATTGTGGGTCTCATTCCCACCCCCCTCGATGCATTATCTATCACATTACGTGATAGACCCTTAGTAAAAGGATCTGCTAGATTTTTAGACGTTTGGATAAAACCCAATGCAATAACTCCGGAGTTTTTCATTTTTCTGACAGACTTTAACCTTCTCTGAACGTGTCTTGATGACTTCATGTTATCCTTTGAACTGTTCACTTTCGTGATCACAGTTTGATTATCGCGGTTCATAAGGATACCCGTTACATGTTTCTCAACAACCGACAAGTCATTCAAGAGCCGACGAAGCCAATCTGCTTCGACCGTAGCTGTATCTAGTGATGTGAGTTCTGCTTCCATTGTTGACCTCGTTAAGATGGTCTGCTTGCAAGACTTCCAAGAAACAGCGCCACCTTCATGAGTGAATACATATCCGCTCGTGGCCTTTATCTCATCAGCATCTGAGATCCAGTTTGAGTCACTATACCCTTCAAGCACCTTTGGGTGCCCAGTGTAGTGAATTCCATAATTCGCAGTGCCTTTCAAATAACGCAAAACTCTCTCTAGAGCTTTCCAATGCACATCTCCTGGTTTTGAAACAAACCGACTCAGTTTGCTAACAGCAAAAGAGATGTCAGGTCTTGTAGCACTGGCTAAGTACATAAGCGAGCCAATAATCTGTGAATATTTCAATTGGTCTCTAGCAATTCTTCGATTCTTTCGAAGCAACACACTAGCATCATATGGTGTTGGAGAGGGCTTGCAGTCACTGTAGCCAAAGCGACTCAAGATCTTTTCCACATAGTGAGATTGAAGCAATGTAATCCCACCATCATCCTCTCTCAACAACTTGATGTTCAGAATGACATCAGCCACTCCTAAATCCTTCATCTCAAAATAGCGAGATAGGAAATCCTTGACCTCCTTAATAACATTCAGATTTGTTCTGAAAATCAGTATGTCATCAACATACAAGCAAAGCATAACTCCCTCGCCCCACCATGGCGATAGTACACACATTTGTCAGCTTCGTTCACAACAAAGCCTGCAGCTGTTAAAGTTCTTTCGAACTTCTCATGCCACTGTTTGGGTGCTTGCTTGAGTCCATACAAAGACTTCAGCAACTTGCACACTTTCCCTTCTTGACCATCTATTACAAACCATCTGGTTGTTCCATATAAATTTCCTCATCCAACTCTCCATTTAGGAAAGCAGTCTTAACATCCATTTGATGAACGAGAAGATCATGTGAGGCAGCTAGTGAAAGTAGAACTCCAATAGTGGTCAGTCGAGCCACATGTGAGTAAGTATCAAAGAAGTCTCCACCTTCCTTTTGGGTATAACCCTTTGCCAAGAGCCGAGCCTTGTACTTTTCAATAGTACCATCAGGCCTAAGCTTCTTCTTGAATACCCATTTGCATCCTATAGGTTTGCACCCATAAGGACGATCAGTTATCTCCCAAGTTTCATTTGCCAAGATGGAATCCATTTCGCTACGAACCGCTTCCTTCCAGTAGTCAGCATCTTCCGATGCATAGGCCTCCGAAATAGAACTGGGAGTGTCATCTATGAGATACACAAGAAAATCATCACCAAAGGACTTTGCAGTCCTCTGTCTCTTGCTCCTAATAGGAACTTTATTGTTTTCCTCCACAGGACTTTCAAAGTGTTCCATCGAAATGGCAGGTTCGGTAATTGTAATTGGTTCCTGATTCGATGAACTAGGCATCTCCTGATTAGATGAGGTAGCCATATCCTTCATGGGAAAGATATCTTCAAAGAAAGTCACATCATTTGACTCCATGATCGTACCGACATGCATGTCAGGTACCTCAGATTTTACAACCAAGAATCTATAGCCAATGCTATGAAAAGCATATCCCAGGAAAACACAATCCACAGTTTTTGGTCCCAGCTTCCATTTCTTTGGAATTGGCACATTGACTTTCGCCAAACAACCCCAGGTTTGTAGATAAGAGAGCTTTAAACTTTTCTTCTCCCATTCCTCGAATGGAGTTATCTCTTTGTTCTTTATGGGAACTCGGTTTAGGACATGACAAGCAGTCAATATCGCCTCCCCCCACCATGCCTTGGAGAGACCCGATGTGTCTAACATGGCGTTAACCAAATCAGTTAGAGTACGGTTCTTTCTTTCGGCCACCCCATTTGACTAAGGTGAGTAGGGAGGCGTCCTCTCATGGATTATACCATGTTCCGCACAAAAAGCATCAAATTCATTGGAAAAATACTCTCCACCACGGTCGGACCTAAGCCTCTTGATTTTTCGATCAAGTTGGTTTTCCACTTCAGCTTTATAGATCTTGAAAAAATTCAAAGCCTCATCCTTAGATTTCAGAAGATACACATGGCAGTATCTAGTGGACTCGTCAATTAACGTCATGAAATATTTCTTTCCACCTTTTGTCAAAAACACCATTCATTTCACATAGATCTGAATGTATAAGTTCTAGTGGTGCAAGATTTCTCGTCTCCACAGTCACGTGAGACTTACGAGGTTGCTTAGCTTGCACACACACTTGACACTTAGATTCCTTGACAGTGGTGAAACTAGGGATTAAGTTCAACTTCGCTAGTCGCAACATTCAACCAAAGTTAACATGACAAAGACGTGAATGCCACACATTTGATTCACTATTGTTGCAAATATGATTAACAACTTTATTGCAAACGTCTGATAAGGATAAATGAAACAGGCCTCCTGACTCATAGCCTTTACCAACAAAGGTTCCATACTTGGAGATTACAAATTTATTCGACTCAAAGACAAGCTTGTAGCCATCTCTACACAGAA